AATAGTATTTTTATTCTATTCTTGTAAAATTATCATTTTATATAATAAAGCCATATTAGAAAGATTGGATATTCAAGGATAGAGATACTCTTAGTTTTTCAGATTTTTCAATTTCAAAACCTAACCATTTTATAGTATAAAAGGTTGTTAATAGAACTTGTTTGTTTATATGATTTTAAAACTTTTGTTAAGATTATTTTATTTTTCGAAAATCGAAAATCTTAGTTATAATCTATTTATTTATATTACAACTTTTTTTTAAAAATTAATATAATATATTTTGTAAAGTTTTTTATTATTCTAAAAAGATACTATATACTGTTTTTGATATATATTAGATTGTTATACAACTAAGTGGATTGTCTTTATAAATCTCGAGGTTATAGTATAATTTCAAAGTTTAGAATGAGTATATTCTCTTAATTATATTATTTTGTTAGAAAATATTTTTTTAGATTATTTTTGTATTAATATTTATTTCTAATGCTATTTCAGATTTCGTTTCTAATACTTGGGCTGTTTCTAAAAAAAATATTATCAAAAACTTAGAGATTGCAAAATTGTTTATTAAATAATTTATTAATAAAAGTTTTAAATAGATTATTAATATAAAGGAGTGAAGGTAGATATAAAATCATAGGAAAATCTTTAGTATAATTATATATTGTATAATAATTATTTAATTATAATATTATTGAAAGATAATTATAGTCAAAGGGGGATAAAATAATTATTTGTTTAAATATTGAAGGTAGATTGTGAAGGATCACAAGCAGGGAATAGGTCGGATAGTATCAGTACTACAGTTGGGGTATAGTTTGTACAGAACTGAACTCATACCACTGCCAGGGTGGTATGAGGGTAGTTCTTTATAGATTTCAGTACGAACTAACTAATAAAGAACAAAGGATATGAAACGATACTCCGTATCCTTTCACATCCACGCTTTTCCGGCTAGTCCCCGGAAGAGGATTAGTCTCTACGTGGTGACATAGATATAACTTTAAAAGAATAAAACATGACAATTGATCTAAACTATTAGAAGAGGGGAGTATAAGTACTCTTTTTAGATTATTATATGACTCTAATATTATTGATTGGTTTCCTTACAATAGTTTAATCAAAAAGGATCTATAGATTATTGTATAGTATGTGTATGAAAAATATTATACAAGTCAAATAAAGACTTATATTTTAAAAAAATGTTATTTTTAGAAATAGGAATCTACGTGCACACTCCATTTTTGATAAATGCGAAAACTTACACTACCGAGCTAAACAAGGCCTAAGTCATTTATCACTATTCACAAGAGACGTCTAAAATTTTTACTACCACCTGGAAATGCTGCACTTCTTGTGCCAAACGCTATTGCCTCCAATATATATCTCAAATTTATGGGAGAGGTCATCATAAGTTGTCGGCATAGAGCTCCAAAGATCAGAAATTCGCACAGAGGCCAATTGCCTTTCCACTGGTGTTATTGTTCCCAGACAATCTCATTGTTCATGGCAACGGTATTTGCGGCCGCAAAATCCGATATCCAAAAAGCGTTCGGTTGTTCTGCTGTTATAGGTAAGGAAAATTCATTCTCGTCGAATGACAAAGGTTGATTATTTTTAATCTCGGTTGAAAATCCCGTCATAGGTAGACCGTCGTTTGAAGATGTCAAAGGTAGAAATCCGTTAGGGCTTCCTTTCATAAACTCCTCGAGTCCAAGATTTTCGACATCATTGCTTGCAAGCATTTGCATCTGTGACATGTCGATATAAGATGACGCCGTACTCAATCTGTATTTATCGATTTCCCCACCAAATTCCGATGCATCAAGATCAGATCCGTACTGATTGTTTATCAATGATTGCCTAGAAGTATCCGGAACACCAATGAAATCTTCGACTTCGGATTGTTCGCCAGAGGTTGATGTAGTTGTTAATGCCGGTTGATCTATGCTGGAAAAGTCAAATCCATTGAATGATGCTGTGTGGCTGTAAGACGAGGCTGCGAAATTGTCGCTGTTGAAATCTAATCCATCGTAATGGGACCAATCGATAGAAGCGGAACTGAATCCGGCGGAATACATCGGTTGGTCGAGGTCTGAAATTACCCCGCCGTATGCATCAAATTGATATATGTTATTGTAATCAGGGGGCACATTTGTTAAGTCCAGAGGTGGCAATTGACAATTCATTTGTTGGAAATTGGTCGTAGCGCTGACGTGTGGTGATGCATGCTCGGACTTGACCATTCGCTGCTCCTGTTGAGCACTCACTATAGAGTCTTTGATTTGAGATTCACTGTGTAGAGTGTCGACGGTGTTCGTATGTAGTAGATTATCTACGGACCTATTGGCGAGACTCGATGCCGATTGGCCATGAATTGTATGTGCCCGGGGTACGGTATATGGCAGACCACATTTATGAGCCATGGTGTTATTCTTGTGTACAGGCTTGTGGTGACCATTTGTAAATATCGTTAAATTGTTTTCTGATTGAGCAGTCTGTGCACGAGGTCGTCGTGGTTTCGATGATGGTAGAGACATTGAAGGGGTATCATCAGAGTCAGATTCTGGTACTGGAGCGAGGTGATCACTTTTCGAAGCGCAAGAGCATCGGGCGCCATGGCTGCAACAACAAGTATCTGCTACAATTACATCAGAAACTGGGGTTGTTGTGCCAAAGGTATCCCATAGAAGCTCACCCTGTGTATCTGCATTTTCCGGACAGGATCCTTTCGAATGTGACTTTTCCGAACCGCATTCGCATCGAACGTGTGCTGCCCTAGATTTGCGCATTGTTCGACAATGAGCACATTGTGAGACAGGACGACCCTAAACAAGTTTTATTAGCAAGATTGGTACAACAAAATACCAATTGGTATACCTTTTTATTGATGTGTTGTAAAGGTCGGTCTGAATGGTGACAATTGCTAACACGATGACCTCTGACGCAAGCATCACAAGCGTATTTTTCTCCGTCGATGATCATCTTGAAGAGAGATATGTCGAGGTTAAGAGATGATTGATTGATTTAGATAAAGAGTTATGAGTAAAGTTGGACGACCGTCAACGAGCCGTCACTAACAACAAGACGGGAAAAAACCACCCTCAAGATGATAGGTTGCTAATTGTATGCAATCCAGTGGAATTGCTGAGTCGAAAGATATCGAGTCGAAGAAATAAAAGTTAAGAACGAAAATAGTTGTAATTGCTCGGGGTTGTAGTAGAAGTAAAAGTAAAATGCCGCTGCCGTGGTATATGGTATATGCCCTTTTGACTCCCACTTTGATGAAATATTTGATCTAACGCCTGAAAGATGCGATATCCGAGAATAAAAAGATCGAGAGGAGATTTGTTTTCTTTTTTTTGGAGATTTTAAATTTTTACAATGGCAGAGCCTTGCACCGTCTGGCGCCGGCTTAGAACAGCGGGACACCGAGGCCGGTTGTGGGCTTTACCAAATTATATGGTTTTGGTTTTCCTTTGTTTGGGGGACAAAGTTGAGAAGTTGAATAAGATTGTGAGAAAAACTGGGAGATGAAATCGAATTATATGAGGAATACGGTGACTTTTAAAATTACTGTATCATTTGGTGTAGCCATTGAAACAAAAACCAAAGACGCAATTCCTTGGTTTAACCTTGTGATATATGTGGGAGGAGGGAGGGAGAGAAAGTGGGTTGGTTGTAGATATTAGATCGTTGGGTTGTGTGAGTGGGAGATGGAATGGGAGTGGTGGATATTAAATATATATATATATATATACGGAGTCTATCTAGGGTTATGAAATAATTAACATAATTAATAGATAATTCCACTCATTTGTGTTGTTTCTTTGGTTAGTTTAGTAAATTTTAGTTTCATCGAAGCGAAACAGAAACAGATCTACCAACAGAATACTCCATCTATGATCCATTTATTACCTATCTACTTTTACTACCGGTACTCGAGTAGATACTCTACAACAAGTTCTCCAGAAGTCAAGTCTGCTTCTTCGTTCGCCCCTTTTGCCAGCGAAACAATCAAGGAAAATAGGTAATGAACGAACACCTGCTCAATGCTTTTGTATCATTATTCAGAAAATATTTTTCTGTTTATTTCCTGCTTTACTCTAGCTCACATCACTACCAAGTGCCACATTGCACTACACTACCGGTACCGGTACTCACTTGCGGATCCCTATGAGTACAAGATATATTCAATACATAACTTACTCGGCCTGATGGTCCCTCTGATCTTGATTTCATCAATCAATTTGAGTTGGTATACCGATGGGTGGGGGTAGGTCTGCTACACTATCTACAAAGCTTCAACTTATCAAATTCTCTTGTAATGGCGGCTTGGTCAAATTCGTCTTATGGGTAGGTAGGTCAAGATCGGGTAGGCAGGGTAAGAGAGACAATATCAAATCGGAGCAGAAAGAAAAACCGGAATCCACAATCCACTAACTTGCTTCCCCGGAAACGGTTTTGACCCCATGTTGAATCTTGTTGCTTGTTAGCTAATGAAGCATTTGACAAACATAACTCGAGTATATATTTTCCAATAGCCGATTCAACCAACAAATATTACTTGTTCGATAATTGGTTTACCACAGATCCTCAAGTACAATTGAGAATCTCGTCTAATTTATCATCGATGAAGGAGTTTCATTAAGGTTATCTATCTAACTTGGAGAATTCTTCAATAAATACATCGAGAACTCACTGGTCTGCCGTCACCCTCGAATCGCCGTCTCTCAAACCTCGAAAATACACATTTGGCAGAATCAATGCCTTTACGGTTATTACTGTACACTCCATCCAGTGAAGGTATGCAAGCCATCCACTCATCCTACCACACCTACATATTCCCTGAATCAGCATCAACAACGACTCAGCCCCAAAAAAATGATATCCACCCCGTATAATTACCGTTTTTCTTATGAACCCGGATTACAGTAACCTAAGATTGTCGACGTTACATCACCTTCATGTATCATATTCCAACTGGCTTAAAAAGATGTTCACGCAAATCATGGCAACGAAGAACATTCGGAACTTCTGGTATCGTAAATGTATACAGTACGGGAATAATATCCTCCTATCTGAACTTACGATGCACGCACACACGCACGCACCACGGTTGAACGGGGAGTACACAATCATAATAGCACATAACATACAAGATCGACGCTCATCTCCCGAAGACTTTATCTAGGTGTTCGATGATCTTATCACTAGGTACCTAGGTACTTGTAGTTCTACGACAGTCGGTAGTTAGTCGAGGACTTCGTCCACGAAATTTCACCATTCATTTTACCATTTTACCATCTCGAGACCCCAATTGCAAAAACCCCCATTCCACCTCCAATCGAGATTCGGTATAGTATCACCACAAGCAAGGATCCAACACATTAGCACTGTCGTGCAATGCATGGTCAACGAGTCCACCAGAAAGCTGGGAATGCGAATTCGAAGTTTATAGGATAACTGCAACGTTTGTGTTACAAACACAACTTACAATTGCCACGTTCAGCAGCGACCGCATGAGACTTTTTTTTTTCTTCACAAGGGAGGGGAGGAAGGATTCGAGGTACTCACCTCGCCTCGCTCCTTGTATGTACGAGTATATACTGTACTGTACATCTCAATTCTCGAGCGAAGCTTCAACTCACCCCACGAAATTCAAAGAATCAGATAAAGCCAAGAGCAACGAACAAAAGTTCAACATGCGTGCTGCGTGCTGCGTGCGGCATTCATTGCTGCGCCTTCTTCCCATAATATGATTGATCTTTATACTCGAGTATCTACTGAGCCAACTGATCACCTTGATTGGTGGTGCTTGTGATGGCTACACTTATCTATCCCTCCCGATGCCACGATTCTCGGTCGGTGCTGATGTGAATCGATCCTGATGTGTAATATGATCATCTGCTCACCTGCACTTACTTACTTACCTTTACTCTCGATAATCACACGGACTGAGACGGATGATTTTGGAAGTTTTTTTTTTTTTTTTGGGGTTTGTTTACTGGGAGAGATAAGGTAGGTAAAGAGGTAGGTAGGTAGGTAGATAGGTACAGATGCCATACTTATCTACACCATGCTTCTGCGGGGGTCAATTGAGCTTCTTATATCATGCATTACATATTTTGTACAGTAAACCAGACATGACATGATCAATTTGTTTTCCCTCTCAAGCGAATTCTTCAGGAGACCCGAGAGACTCAATTGTTTAATTGTTTAAATTCCTGGTAATTATTGCCAAGTTATTTATGCAGTTTATATATACTCAGGTTCCTTCAACAATTAGATAATTACTACGACCCTATTCAGAATATAATATAGTATATATATGATGGAAATAACAATATATCCTAAACCTTTACGCGGTGAACGCGGGGAAAAGAGTATATACAGTGTTGTATTGTATTGTATCGTATTGTATCGAATCTTCAATTCAGCATGATGATCCTGCAGATATAATAAATTCTTCATTCATTCATTCATTCATATAGACTAATACACACACATGCAAATGTAAATGCAATTACATTACACTACACAACTCACCAGCTCAATCGATACCTTTATACAGAGAAAATTAGACTCAATCGGTATATATATGTTTCCCTACATAAATGTAAATGTATGGATATGGATATGAATATGTGGATGAGTAGGTTAATGTGTGCGGGATGGATGTATGGATAGATGCGGGGTGGATGTGTAAATGTATTCTTATTCACTTACTCACTTACTCACTCACCGCTGGATGGAGAATGGGTAGGTAAGTAGAGAAGAGGAGAGGTGAGTGGGATAGATGTGATAATGGGATGGGATGAAAAGTGATGATAGACCAATGGAATAAATACCTCATTTGTGTCACGTGACTGTATATCAAATGTGTGATTTGCATCGGATTACTTTGTTAGGTTTGGGGAAGAATATAGAATATATTGGTATTTACTCGAGTAGGTAAGTTATATTATGAATTGGATTAGGTTGTTGTTGTGGTGATGATGATGATGATGTGAATGTGAAGATAAAAAGGAGGTCTCTGAGATGGATGAGTATATATTTGTATTTGTACTGGAGTATTTGTATAGCTAAGACATATTCGTATGAAGTACCGTACCTATATTAGATGATTATATAACTGCCGTTACTATAAGGTTAATATTATAAGCTTTCTGGCATGAGTGTAGGGTGGGGGTGTGTGCGTGCGTGCATTGTAGATAAGTGGTGGAGGTGGTGGAAGTGGTGGCGAGGAAGGAAGTACTCGAATTCGAGGATGGGATGCCATTGTCTATGATGAGTGTGTACTCTACTCGAGTAGTGATCTTGGTGATTGGGTGAGTAAGAAAAATCAGATCAAATGAAGAAAACGGGAAAGGAAAGGAAAGGAAAGGAAAGGAAAGATACTATATATTCTTTTCATTCCAGAATCCATACGTTTATCTTGTTACAACCAACTCTAGCTACTGAGCATGAGATATACTCTGTACCGGTATACCTATAATATAATCTTACTCTTTCTCACCTTAAACAAATATTTTCTATTCGTAATTCACATCCGGATCCGGATCCGAACTGATGTCTTGTCTCATTGGGATCTTCAAATATTAGATATTTACGATTAGTTTCCTAGCTCGGAATATGCACGATTAGTGTAGAGTACGTACTCTCTCTTTCTATATTGCATTGACATTAACATCAACACCACAGGACCCCTTTTCGTGTAACCGAATATATATTAGACACTCGAGTCTAGTATCTCAACTCAATCATATACAATCATTTTCCTTAGTACACTCAAGTATTCATTTTATTATATTTTAATTTATTTAAATCGACAAACCCCCACGAAATCTATCCAGAATACTCGTACATCACATATCATACATCATACAAGATCATAAAATGCTAAGATGCTGAGATGCGTCCGATTCCGGCTTGCTTATTACTACTGTATGAGTAATTATGATGCGAAGATATACTCTCGAGTCTCGAGTCGAGTTGTGGATGAGGAGCATCACAAGATAGATGTATTATTTATATGTTTGAATGTTTTACGCTCAATATCATATGCTTGTTATCGTTACTGGTAGATAAGTATTTATTCCATGGTTTCAGTCAATTTCATTTTATTTCAACAATTGTACAACTAATCGCGTATTATATTGGTACTGTACGAGTACTACAGAGTAGGTATCATCAATAAATAAAATACATAACGCATGTTATATCCTGCAAGTAAAGCGCTCTTTTGGAATAAATTTTCATTTCATTTCATTTCATTTCATTTCATTTCATTTCATTTCATTTCATTTCATTTCATTTCATTTCATTTCATTTCATTTCATTTCATTTCATTTCATTTCATTTCATTTCATTTCCTTTCCTTTCCTTTCGTTTCTGATTTCTGAATACTCAATCCACAATCATCCCATCCCATCCCATTACATCCTAGCAGCTCAACCCTCCCGCTTTCATCACAAATTTAAGTCTGGCTTCCCATCGTTTTCTGCACACCAGTTTCAGGTTTCCACGTCGAAATTGAGAGAAGGGGATGGTGCTCAAGAAGTCTTCTTGGCGCTTGAGGGTGCAGCGGTAATGGGTTGTCCTTTTTGTCGTTGCTGGTAAATTTGGTAGGCAAAGAAGGTGGCGACGAGGGCGCCGATTACGATTATATTGCCTATTTGTGAGGGATGATTAGCTTCTGTTGCTATATTCTACTGTTCTCTTTTCTCTTTTCTCTTTTCTCTTTCCTCTGTCTTTTTCTTTTCATCATGTATCGCATCGCAATCCACCAGGGAAGAAATAACACAAAGAGGAGCGGAAAAGAGAAACAGGAAGACATACTCAAAAGGAAATTGAATAATCCTTCAAAGGTCTGCACGATACCAGCAACAGCAGCACCGATGGCAGAGAAGAATGCATTGATGAGACCGAGGATGGTGTTGAGGATTGATTGGAGGACAGCGATGATGGAGGAGAAGGCTGCGGTGATGGTGTTGATGATAGAAGCGAAGAGGTTAGAGATGGATTCGACGATGGAGGGCATGGTTGCTGTTTTTGGGGTTGTTTGGTGGTTTAGTTGGAGTTGGGGTTGGAGTCAAAGTGAACTGTGTCGAGTTGTTTGATTTGAAGGTACTAGTAGATTGTGAATGCGATGTGATACTTTGATCTCCTGAACAAGAGTAGATTGTAGTATGGTACTAGTATTGAATATTAAATCGAAATAAGATCGTGAACTAGAATCACAGAAATGTGGCAATGAACTATATAAATATATACCCCCATCTCTCCAACAATACTCCATATCAAACCAATATCAATATCTTTGTGGCGTCACCCCCTTTACAAAAGATGACCTCATTGCCGCGAACAACCAAACAAACGAGAACGATTCTGCAGAAGCTGCTTTTTCTTTTTTATTTCAGGAATTAATTACCCTTAAGCATTCATTAACTTGCTGGTTGATACTGTAGGGCTGTCTGTAAACAGGTTTTGGATATGACGCAGATGCTTGCAGTAAATAATACAATGTGATGTGATTGATGGATGGATGATACGATGCCTTAGATAAAATGTAATATAATAAACCACCGTTTACATACAATTTCCGCATTCCTTACTATTCTATGTACTATTCTGTAACTTACCATTACCCCGCCATCCTATCAAATCGATGCAAATCGATGCCTATTCATTTGGCGGGATAATACTGCAAAAACCATGGCATTTTCAAAATCGCAATCAAAATATGCATGGCTTTCATATGAACAGCATACGGAGTTACCTAGGTAGGTATTGCTTCAATCAAATTTCTCCAGTTCCAATCAAACAAGTAAAAAACAAAAAAAAACTCCAAATTCTAGATTTCGATATGGATCGAATCGAATGACCCTCACAGGGACCAGGGGTTCAATTGCCATGCACATTCCCGTCATTTGTTACAAGGTAGGTATGTACTATGTTTGTATGGGGGATTCTTGTGGAGGTGGAGGTGGGCGCTGATACGGCTTGGCGACTTGGCGTCTGGGGACGGAAGGATTGGATTGCGAATTAAAGATTGAAGATTGATGATCGTTTACGGATAACTTCATATTTACAGCGGGTTTGGATTGCGAGAGGATTGTGCATACAATCTATCGGCGGATTTTCGGTTATTGGTTTTTAAAAGTTTTCTTTTTGTTCGAGATAAGCAGGATTATCAAGATTTTCACGTGGTCAAAATACGTCGAGAAGGATTCAGATTGGACGCGATCAATCTAGAGGAACTTCTGGGTCCGTAGAGGGTAAAGAATGGCACCATCACAACAACTTCCTAAAAACTGGCCCCCTCATATTCCCTACCTCACAACCCCCACCTACTGCCCAACAATAACCCCTTCCCACCTAAAACTTCTCCGCACACCTCCCACCGACTCCCTCCCCATCCCCCCCTCACACTCTAAAGGACCGTGTCCCCTCGTCAAAATCACACCTATCAATGATCCCTCCCACCCCGCCAATGGACAAAGCGGATTATTCGCGAGCCGCGACTTGAAAGCTGGAACACTTATCTTGCAATATATTGGGGAAGTACATGGGGCGATTGATATGAATGGGGCGGATGAGAGGTTGAGGAGGGAGGCGAAGAGGCATGAGGAGAGCGATTATGATTTGAGTTTGGATAGGGAGGGGGGAGTGGGGGTGGATGCTCAGGGGAGGGGGAATGAGGCGAGGTTTGTTAATGATTTTAGGGGGGTGCTAGGGGGCAGGGTTAATGCGGAGTTTAGGGAGGTGTGGGATGGGGGGAGGGGGGAGAGGGGAATGGGGGTTTGGGTTTTGGGGGAGAAGGATGGGAAGGGGAAGGGGAAGAAGGTGGGGGAGGGGATGGGGAAGGGAAAGGGAGAGGGAAAGGGAAATGGGAGTGCGGGAGGGAAGTGGAAGGGGATTAGGAAGGGAGAGGAGATCTTGGTTAGTTATGGGAGGGGTTTTTGGGGAGCAAGAAAGGGGGAAGATGAGTGGGCGGAGACTGTGGATGAGAGAGAGACATTGGAGGTCTGAGAGAGACTCTGGATGAGAAAATTGGAGAGATATTGGGAGTTTGGAATGGAAACAACGATTATTATTCAGCAGTTCCGCATTAACTCGACACGTTCTCAATCAAGTCCTCCAAGTCGTCCAAAATCATCAAAGCCAAGGCGATAAATTACAAAATGCCAATAACGAACGAACTCCAATGAATGTTGAATGTGCAGATTTGTATGGATGATCGTACCTTTATCACTGACTGAATGTAATGAATCCCGAAACCCATATTATATAGTACAGTATAGGACGATGTCTGCAGATGCAGGAATAGAATAAATATGAGTATAGGATGATTTTGATATTTACTCTTTACCTGGAGACAACATAGGTAAAAATTCACTCCGAATAACAAAGTATACTTCTCGTTATAATTGTGATAGAAATTTTTTGAAAAACAACTGCATTCCATTCCGCATGAACATGTGGATCTATTTTCCCTTCACCGCTTGAAATATTGACCAATGGATTTCAATGTTATCAGAGCACGATAGGTATATAAGGAAAGCTTTGTGCCGATATATTATTCATTGTATCTCGTCCAAATGTTCCAAATGAATAGGTAAGTTAGGATGATTTTGACAGTAAGTTTCGAGAATATTAGATGAGAAGACTATATACCTAGTATATGAGACTAGATTGAGACTAAATGCGAAATTCGCGACTCCAATTGGTCAGGCTCGTTTATCGCTATTATCGCGTCACACACAATCAATCAGATTGTGTATACCAACCATACCTATCTCCTTACTTACCTACCTACACTTACATTTCAATTACTGGTGATTGAACTATTTCAATTCCCTAAACAAAAGTTTCTTACTTCATTACAAGTTTAATTGAATACTCAACATCGAACAAAAACACCAATACTTTCTTTACAGAAGCTGACCTCTCACCATTTCCTTTAATTCCATCGCATAACGCCCCTCTTTGCAATCACCCAAATTACATGACCTTGCGACAATACTCATTAATACGTCTGGCAGATCACGACTAGATTTCTACCTTTTCTACCTTTTCAGGAGTCTTCCTCCACTTCATAACATCTAGGTGTTCATCGAAGTGATCGGAAGATACACTTCTTGCCACCCTTCTTCACACATGAGTCACCTCTGGAAATATTATCTCGAAGATGACGTCAATAAATTTCGACATTTACTGGCAAATGGCACCAATCCACCGCAGCATACGTTGAAAGGCCATGGTGGAGGACCGGCGTTCTCCAGTAGCTTTGGGAATAAGATAGGAAGTTCAGGCGGCTTCGGAACATCGCCAAAGACTTTCAGTAAGAACCGCAAAGTCTCTGGTCTGGCTGGAAACATAAGTGGAAATAGAGGGCAAGGCAATACGCTTGGTAGGGTGGAATCGAATAGCAGAGATCATGCTGGATTAACAGTCTTGCACCGAGCTGCATCGTCGACATCTCCGAATGCAATAAATTTTGCCGCCGCCCTCATCGAACATCCTTCCATCGACCTCTATATACAAGATACAGAAAACGGATGGACAGCATTGCATAGGGCTTTGTATTTTGGTAACGTCACAATTGCTCGAGCAATTATTGAGCGAGACTCGAAGGATCGTGCCGCTGGAAATACAGGATCCAGGCCGGACTCTTCAGTTATCAAGGTCAAGGACCGAGAGGGGAACACCCCGTTCGATGTATACAACGCGACAATCGCAGAACGATCTTTAATAGGCAGAACAGAGCAGGAATCACTTCACTTTGGGACTGATGTCTCAGATGATGGATCATTCGATCGATCGTTTGATTTGCAGTCGAGTAAATCATTAGAGCTCACAAGTATCGATGGCGACGAACTTTTTGCATTTGGCAGTAACAAGAACTTTTCATTGGGTTTCGGTGATCAGGATGATCGGCAGCATCCGGAGAAGATAACGCTGAAACGTCCTGACCATTTGCTCTTTCGATTTTATCAAGAATTCTTGGACTCTGATGATAACAAAAATTTCGTCGGGAACCGAAAGATACCTAAAACAGTATCTGAGCTTCCTTCAATGCTCCAGGATAAACCTATCGTCATACAAGATGTTGCTCTTTCCAAGCTAAGTAGCGCTGTATTGACCACAGATCCAGAATCAAACCTTTATATGTGTGGCTTTGGCCCAGGAGGTAGATTAGGCATGGGAGACGAAATCACTCGCTTCAATTACGTACCAGTAGACCAGGGTCACTTGGCAAGGAAGAAAGTCGTAGCTGTCGCTCTCGGCCAAAATCATACCCTTGCCGTCTCATCGGAAGGAGAGATCTTCAGTTGGGGCACAAATAACTGGGGCCAATTGGGCTACAACCTACCTCGACCTGCGCTTAAGGACCAGGAGCCGTTCTGCACAACCCCGCGCCAAATCTTTGGACCCCTGAAAAGAGAAACCATCGCTGGTATTGCTGCATCTGCTATTCATTCGGTGGCCTACACATCTACCTCGCTGTTTTGCTGGGGTAAGAATGAGGGACAACTGGGTCTTATGGATTCTGATTCTCGATCTTTGGAAGTCCAGCCAATCCCCCGTAGAGTTGCGGCATCGTTATTCAAGTCATCGATTGTCAAAGTTTCGGCCATCAATGGTGCGACCTCGTGCCTATTGGCAAACCATACAGTTTGCGTGTTCACGAATTATGGCTATAACATGGTCAAATTTCCATTGTATGAAAGTTTCACCAACCATCACCTTCAAAGCAATTCGCATAGAACCACCCGGTCCGACAATAGTATCACTGCCATTGAGTCTGGAGGAGATACAATTGCCGCTATATCTCGTAGAGGTGACTTGTTCACCTTAAATGTAAGGAAGATTGATACGAAAGTTATGGCGACTTCTACAACGAATCCCTCCAAAATCAAGGAAGCTTTGTCACAACCTCAGCGAGTCTGGACACTGCGCAAAGGTAATTGGGATGGAGTAAAATCCGTTGGCGTCGCCGAGAATGGATCCGTCATAGTTTGTACTCAGGCTGGTGCCGTCTGGCGACGCATCAAAAGAGCAAAGAATAAGGATGCTTTCACTGGGAATCGTGATTACGACCGCAAAGATTTCAAATTTCAGCGAGTTCCTGGACTCACCAAAGTAGCTGCTGTCAGAAGTAATCCTTTCGGTGTATTTGCGGCCATCCGTAAAGACTGCGACGTAACTAGGATTGAAATGGCAGTCGAAGAGCATACATTATGGAAGGATATTGAACCTTTGCTAAGCATTCGAGGCCTATTGCCTTCAGAGGAATCACAAATCAGTTACCCGTCCCCGGACGATGTTGAGGAAGATGTGGCTTCGCTGCTTAAGGATCAGGATCCTGAGAGTGGTGGCTATGATGTTGAGATATGTTCCAGCATATCTGACACTGCAATACCTGTCCACGGCTTCATGCTAGGAAGCAGAATTCCTGTCCTAAGATCACTCTTAGTCGAATTTCGTCGCCGTGGAACTGCTTCGCTATCTGATGTCCTCAATATTGAGAAGCGTGCAGGTGGCAGGATAAGAATTATCTTCAACGGCCTGGAATTTATCACTCTTGTCAATCTTGCCATATATCTTTACATCGGCCGAACTGCTGACGTTTGGTTATTCGCATTTTGCATCCCGCACAGGAGTTCCAAATTTCAATATCTTAAGACCGAAATGACGATACTTGGATCCCAGTTGAAAATTCCCTGGTTGGAACTTATTCCATCTGGTTTTAGAGATCGCGCGGACCACTTAAGGTATGACATGGACAATGCAATCACAGACGAGACGTTCTTCGATGATTGCGATGCTATTGTTGAGTTGGATGGAGGAATGATGCCTATTCACAGTGTGCTTGTATGCCAACGATGTCCTTTCTTCGACGTTCTATTTAATGGTCGAATCAGGGGACAATGGCTTGCTAGTAGACGTGCAGAAAGCACAGGACCGGTCAGAATCGATATGAAGCACATTGCACCCGCGACTTTCGATCTCGTACTGCGCTATATTTATGCCGATGTAGGACTTCAGCTTTTCGATAACATCGTCTCCACTGATATCGACGAATTCTCGGAACTTGTTGTGGATGTCATGAGTGTTGCAAATGAGTTGATGATGGATAAGTTATCTCAGGTCTGTCAACAAGTTCTAGGTCGTTTTGGTATGTTCTTTCCGCTCTGCAATATTTCGTAGATTGTGTTACCAGTAATACTGACATCACTGAAGTCAATACTCGAAATGTCTGCAGTATCGTCAACGCTGTGGCACCTTTCTCAGTCACCCAGCTTAAAGATGCTGGCCTAGAGTATATGTGTTTGCAGCTGGAGTCAATGCTCGAGAACCGGTAAGTCTAACCTCATATCTTTGATAGGTCTTATGATCGAGGCTTCTGGTAGTCCCCCTGCTAATTCCAAATAGTCTACTTGATGGTCTTGACGAGGATCTTATTTTTGAATTGGATAAAGTTGTACGCGATAACCAATTGAACTGTCTGCCATTTGCAAAAAGCGGCCGCGCTGATATAACACTGCACGGGTATTATCCCGAATTAGCGGAGGACATAGATGAGGAAAGACGGCGCAGGTTAGGAGATATGATGTTTCGTGCGTATCTTAAAGATGATGAAAACAGAATATCTTCATCGTTCAAAGCACGTATGGGGAGTCTTGACGATAATGTACCTTCTCCTAGTAATGAGAAAGCTAGGAGGAAAATCAAGGCGGCCAAATATGAACCTTTCAGCCCAAGCATACGTCCAAAGGATTCTATGGCGGACCTAATGTTCGATATGGATGACGATGAAGAGTCTGGCCCTCTACCTAGTCTGAACTCGATTTTCGACCTGACCTCTGCTTCTCCTGGTAGTCCAGCGACTCCAAGGTTTCCCACAACCAGTTCGACGCCCAAGATTGTGCAGCCCGGATCTCCCACAGAGCTATCAAACTCTATCGGATTGGGATTTCAACACAATCCTGATATCCCTCAAACCGGAACTAAAACATGGTCTTCTCCCAACCTTTCACTAAAGCTGGACATGAAAGAGATTATGGCTCAGGCCTTTATTCGTACTTCCAATCTATCAATGAGTCTATCGGCCGAAAGGGCCAAGGATGAAGCAAATGTCATGTCATCTACCCCAAGACTTTCACAGAAGGAACGTAAGAAGCAACAAGCAGCACTTCAGCAAACGATTGCACAGACCCCTGTGGAGAAGGGTAAAGATAAGGCATCATCTCCTTGGCAAGTTGCAGGTGTGGGTTCAAGAGCAAGTCTTAAGGATATTCTTGACAAGGAGAACAAATCTTCACAATCACCTCTAGCACCAAAGTCAGCAGTCTCACCAGCAGTTACTCCATCAATTACGCGACGAACTGCGTATCCAGATACTAGATACGCCGGCCAAAATAAGAATACTAATAACAGCATTACGAAAGCACGGAGATCATCACCTGGTCCATCGAGGCCAAATTTGCCAGCACCGGCCAAACCTACTCCTCTCATTCCTCATTTCAAATCATATACAGCACCAGCAGCAAAAGCGGAGCCGTCGCTGCTATTATCCATGACTGATATCATAGGAATGCAACAAAGAGAGCAAGAAGTGATTAAAGAAGCAGTGGCCAAAAGAAGTCTTAACGAAATTCAAGAAGAACAAGCTTTTCAAGAATGGTGGGATCAAGAAAGTAAAAGGGCGCAAGAGGAGGAAACTTTGAGGACGAAGGCTTCTACTAGTGGCACTGGAAGAGGTGGTGGGAAGTCTGGTGGTGGCAGAGGGAAGGGTGGATCCAGAGGGAGAGGTGGGAGGGGAAGAGGTGGTAGTGGAGATTCTGTCAGGGGTGGAAGTGGTACTAGTGGAAACGGGGGGGAAGGTGGAAATGAAGGAAGGGGCAAGGGGAGAATTTGAGAGAAAAACACCAGTGCGATCTAACACTGTACATTTTTGGTATTTATATATACATCTCGGCGCACGGGAAAATGGGTACATAAGTCAAATACCCCATGGCTTAGCATATGTATATACGCATTAGAACTATGAACTAGAAACAGAGGTCTATTATAGTAGACAGCTATCAACATAGAAGTTCGACAAATGAAGAATAGAGAGAGAATAGAGGGATAGAGGGATAGAGGGATAGAGGGACAGAGGATAGAGGATAGAGGATAGAGGATAATAAATAATTGATTCCTTTCACATCATCAAACGAATTGTTTTTCCCGTTCTATTTGACGTGCTGTTTAGTATACCCGAGTTATGAATTTTCCCTGGCGGCAATAATAGTTCATTTACGAGTACTACTTTGATAAAAGACTAGGAGTAGAAAGTTACAAATTACAAATTATAATTCGGTTATTAGTGTGAGTGCGAGTGTAAAATCACAGTAGATCTATATAGGGAGGGAGGGAGGAGCTGGTTGATTTATTTATTTAAATGATGATGATGATGAGATATATGGATGGATGGATGGATGGATGGATGGATGAGGAGAAATACTAATTGGCTGGGAGGGAGGGAGGGAGGCTTTTGATTTTACTCTTTTTTCTCTGGGGTTGGAAATAGGGAGGTTGGAGGTTAAGGGGGGAGGTTAAGGGAGGTTAAGAGGAGAATTAATGATACTAATTTTAGCTGAGAATAATTAGTTACAGTTGAGTTAATGGCAAATATAGAGGAGTTTTATTATTACTCGAATAATGTTTTATGATTGATACTGATTATTAAATTTACTTATATATAATATGTGATATATGGCTTTCTTTTAAAATCTTAGCGAACTACTATTATAAGAAATGCAACTTTAATTGAAATAGTTTACGAGTAAGTCAACTACTCTACTTTCGGACCACCCCCCCTTTCGGGCCACCCTTTCACACCAAAAACAGTGATTTTTGATTTTTATAACTTTTTATTCATTCGATATAATTGAATGGAATTTTAATTATAGATTCTTTATATAGTTATTAGATCAGGTACAGATTTTCAGAATTTTAGTGATTTTATATAAAAAGTTATAAAGATTTAAAATTCGAATTTTATTTTATATACGATTTGTATACAAATTAAAATATCTAATAACTTTTTAATATAAATAATTAAAAATAATCTATTAATTTTATTAGAATATTTGATAATTAAAAACTTGATAATAAACTTTTTATTTTAGATTATATTATATATTTAAAGTTTTATTAGTAATAATCGTTTTTTTGATCAAATTTTTGATCAAAATATTTCGAATTTTAAATTAAAGAT